AAATAAAATACAAGTAATGAATATACATATGAATGACGGTCGTTACAGTCTCCCCCTAGGATACTGAAATCGACCCGATGAAGTATCCTAAGCTTTCTTCCGGGGACGTCCTCGGCGCCGTATCATGTTAATGGGACCCTCAGGAACATCGCTGGAACTGCGATATGGTGTCAGTGATGACGCATGGTATGTGCCCAATGGATATTGGAGGTTGTCCTCATGAGCAATCACGTAGGAAGTCGCACCTTCTTTGCCAATAATGATATAGGGCCCATCTCGTCGTGGAACAAATTTCGATGTTACACCCTTGGCAGCATTACTCAAAACATGCGTGGTCACAAGGACCTTGGAACCAATCTCTAGTCCCTCTTGGTCACGTCGTTGTGGATTGGTGATGCCTTTATTAGCATCTTGCTGTTTGCATTCGCATTCTCTCGCAGCTTGGAACACCTCCGCGAGAGTGCTTAGATACGGTGTGATTTCTGCAATGAAGTTCTCTGAATGGATGATAGCTCTCAAATCATGCTGGACGTCATCGATCGTTCTTAACTCACGCCCAAATGTGAGGTATGCGGCAGTATACCCGGTACTTTGACAGCGTGTCGTATTCATGGCGAAGCGTATTGCCGGCAACTTCTCTGCCCAGTTGCGGTGTTGTCTGCCCACCAAAATTGACAACTGCGTCTTCAGGTCGCGATTCTTCCTCTCTACAGGATTCGCTTGTGGATGATATACTGGCGTGAATACTTGGCGTATATCCAGACAAAAGGCAACTTTTTGCATTATCGCTGACACGAATTGTACACCGTTGTCGCTAATGATTCGCCTTGGGACTCCATAGCGCAAGAATACCTCGTCGATGAGCGTTTTCGCACAAGTTTCAGCGGAAGCTTCTTTCAATGGAAAAAGTTCCACCCAGCGGCTTGCAACATCCTCTACTATGTAAATCCACTGCATCCCATTCGTGTCGGATGGCAATGGTCCGAACAAGTCGATGGCTAAGGCTTCAAAGCGCTGCTTGCTGGAAGTCGTCTGGTATAGGCCCATTGGCTTCAGGTTTGTTGCCTTATAGCGCTGGCAATCAGCACAATGCTTGACATGGTTCTCGACATCTTTCCGAATTCCTGGCCAATAATAACGCGATGTTATCTTGGTCAAAGTTCGGTCGATTCCATAATGACCCGCTGTGTCTTTGTTGTGGTAGTGATTCAAAATTGCTGGACGCTCGGATTCGGGAACAACTAGCTGTCCCTCTTCGCTGTCTTCATCCTTGTAGCAGTAAAGTACGCCGTCGTTCATTGTGAATCCTCTCTTGGCCCAATGAGCCGCATCATCGGTATTTTCTTCGAAGCACTCGATAATAGCTTTTAGGTAGGAGTCGCTAAGTTGGCTGTCGCGGATTTCCTTCGCTCCTCGTCGCGGAAAATCAACAGCGAACGAGCATATGTGGCAGGATTCTTCGGAGTCATGTCTGGCTTCACAAGGTGGCCTTGACAACATGTCAGCCAAAACATTTGTCTTCCCTGGCTTATAGTCGATGTGCAAGTTGTAGGGTTGTAAAAGCAATGCCCATCGCGCTAGGCGTCCAGTCGGTGATTTTAGCGTCATCAACCATTTAAGCGGCCGGTGGTCCGTGATTAGTGTTACCTCGGATCCCTCAATGTAGCCACGATACTTTTGGACAGCCCATACGATGGCAAGAGCTTCCCTCTCGATCGTAGAGTAGTTTTGCTCTGCTTTTGTCAATAGCCTGCTGGCATATTCTATGGGGTGTTCATCGGAACCCTCCCCCTGGATCAAAACTGCCCCTAGTGCGTAACCACTGGCATCAGTTTTAATGACGAATGGCAGGTTTTCGTCGACTTGCTTTAGGATGGGTGACGTAACCAACAGCCGTTTCAGCTCATCAAACGCAGCTTGCTGCTCATCTTTCCAAACCCAAGGAGCATTCTTTTTCGTCAGTTGCGAAAGCGGTTTTGCGATATCTGCGAATTGGTGTACAAAGCGTCTGTACCAGGAACATGACTGTAGAAAGGATAACAACTCCTTAACATTTTTAGGAGGCTTGCGCAGAGATATTGCTGTGACCTTTTGTGAATCCACTCTTATACCATCTGGGGACAGGATGTGTCCCAAATATTTCACTTCGCGACATGCAAACCGACATTTGTCTTTATTGATCTTGAGACCAAATTGTTGTATACGGTTGAAAAGTCTACTAAGTTCTTCAAGGTGCTCTTCGAAGTTCCTTGAACATAGGATTATATCGTCCAAATATGCAAATATTGTTACGTTATTTAGAGATGCTTTGAGCCGATCGATTAATCGCTGAAACGTTGCTGGCGCGTTTCGCAATCCGAAAGGCATGCGCGTAAATTTATACATACCAAACGGTGTGACGAACGCAGTTTTGTCCTGATCTTCTTCCTTTAGGCCGATTTGCCAGTAGCCAGCCTGCAGATCCAACGTCGACATGAAATTGGTAACTTTAGCCTCATTCAGCAAGTCATCAATCCGCGGAAGAGGATACCGATCCGGCTTGGTGATGGCGTTTAGTTCTCGGTAATCGATGCAAATGCGCAGGTCGCCTGTCTTCTTGGGTACGATAACGACAGGAGCTGCCCATGGCGATTCGCATTCCACTATAACTCCAATCCTGAGCATTTTGTTTATTTCTTGTCTCAACAAAGCCTTCCGCTGCGGTGCTAGACGATATGGTGGCGAAGCAATCGGTAAATGCTCGCCCGTATCGATGCTGTGTGTGGCAAACGGTGTTGCAAATGTTGACTCTTCGAAGACTTCGTTATGTTCGAGCAACAGCTTGTCCAAATCTCTACGCTGTTCAAGCGTGAGATCGCAACCACCTGTCTGAGTTGGTGGACTCAACTCAAGAGAGTTCAACGGGAAAAAATTTTCTTCGCAAAACTCTTCGTAACCACTAATCTTTACCTTAATTGGAGGAGCAAATAGACGAGAGGAGTTTTCGGGCGTAGATTCGCCAACTGGTAGTGAACTTTTGAAAATTTGCTGCACTGAGTGTGGAGAGTAGTCGTTTGAGTGTGAGCGTTTCTCTTTTACTGCTGGTCCATAGTTTCTTTCAGGAGATATTTCTGGGGAAACGGCATCGTCGATGTTAGTGCCACTCCTCATAACGTAGCGAACGAAATTTGAGTACTCGTTTACCGCTTTAGTACGAGGCGATAGTCGATTGCTCGTTACCACCTGTGCGCCCGCTATGTCTATAGCTGACGGCAGACCACTTACACTTGGCTTGGCAAAGTCAAATTTTACCTTGGGCTCGTCTTCGAATTACCAGTAGCGTTGGGCCATATTCACAACAATGCCCGCTTGTTCCAAAAAGTCCGCTCCAATCAGAGTACGATTCTTCGTAGCATTTGAAAGAGATATCATCCGTATTTTCCGAACTCTATGGCCGATTGTGATGTCGCAAATGGTTGATAACACTTTTTGGGCGGTAGTGCTTCCATCTGCCAACGTGACGTCAGCCATGACATCCTGGAAAACACACCCCTTGCTCGACAATATTTTCTTCAAGTTAGCGCTGGCAACAGACGTTTTCGCTCCCGTGTCGAAGAGAGCTTCTCCTTTCAAGCCAAACATCTCGATGTGGACCAATGGACAGGATCTTCCGACAATGGTGGTATTCACGCTATTAAACGCGAGATATTGTGGACTCTCTTTGCTGTGTCCGCTACATTTTGCGCAATTTGCGCGGTACACACCGGGTGCACCACAGCCGTAGCAGGAAAACGTGGCTGTGCGTTTGGTTTGTAGTGCTGCTGCACTTGTACTTGCACTTGTCGTCGTAGACTGTTGCTGTGCCTGCTGCTCCTTCTTCTTCTTTAAGCACACATCCACGGTGTGACCGCGTAATCGGAAGAAAGAGCACCTTTTGGGCCCTTCCGCGCGTTCCGCCTTCTCAGCTAGTGGCGCCGGAAGTTGATTGGATTCAGCCAGAAACAATTCCGCATCTCGGCAACGTGATAGGAGTTCATCGAACGTCGAAAATGCATCACGATGCACGCGCTCTCTTATTTTCACTGACAGGAGGCCGTATATCATATTTAGTTGCACCCCTTCGCTGACGGTGTCTTTCAATTGTGAGAACAACAACCGCTTCTTGCAAATAAAGCTATCGGAGGCTTCGCGCACTTGTTGCTTATGTTCAAAAACACTTAAATAAGTTTTCCAATCAGGCGTTGGAGGAGAAAATGTCGCACGTAATAACTCTATGGCGTCGGCGAATGTTGACACGGATTCTTTCACACCTATCCACCAAGTCGCAGCATAATCCTCGAGTAGAAGTGGCATACCACGTAGCGCATCAGCATCAGGAATTTTCTCGATGTCTTTGTATACTGTAATAGCAGCAACAAATTCCTCTACCGCTACTGGATCCCGTTGTCCTCTAAAGCGCGACGTGCATTGTGTAAAAGAACCGTTTTTACCGCCGCTGGAAATCGCTTCTAGTATTTGGGAGAATTGCTCGGGCGAAAATGTCGCCATTTTGTGCACGCTTGTCGGTTCGTCGGCGAGATTCGAGGCCACTAAGTTGGGCGCCAATGAAGAGTATGACTTGCCGTTCCTTAAATGAAATGTCATAGGATTGGCCCGTCACACCAATTCCTTAATTTTTGTAGTGACCGCGACTACGCCTCTTGATGGACCTGTCCGATAATCCGGACGAGAGTCGCAAACAGAGAGGGAGTTAAAGGTATACGTGAACGAATGAAAACGCGTTAGCTAATGTGTATACTAAAATTGTCTTTATTGAAGTTAGTTGTCCGAAGCAATATTGGACGAACCAACTCAATCGACGCTAAGACGAGAAGTGGCGTTTTACAATGCTATCACGAGTATTTATAGGCGATCATGACGATGCTGATCGTCAGTGATGCATTTTAGAGCTTTCTTACAAACTAAACAGAGTTGCATTTTACATGACATTACAAAGAGTTTAGACGTAAAACATTGAACGGTATGCTATTAAATGAAATAAAATACAAGTAATGAATATACATATGAATGACGGTCGTTACA